TATGCAGGGGGAACAGGCAGTTAGCTTTCTTTCATTTCAGAGGTTGCATACTTAGTATATCAGAATGATTAAATTTCCTGAGTAGAAAAAAAATTTTCCTTCCATGCACATGAAGCAGAGGGTAGTAAGTCAAAATTACAAGCAGTTGTGTACAAATGTGACACAAGTCCTTAGAAGCACTTAAAAATATAGGCCTGGAAAACATGGTTTGAGTCATGGAGTCTAGCCCCTGCTTATCCCAAGTTCCATAAAATGTAATTCCTCTATGAGTTTATCCAGCTGAACCTTAAATGCAGTTATGCTTTTCCCCTCTCCTCACTCCCCCAGCTCCTCCCAGAGAAAGGCTATCCTGACACAAATTGATTTAATGATCAGAAACCTTTTGCTAACTATCACCCTGTGTTAACTCTCAGCCCATTTATACCTGTCTGCAGACGTGCCAACCTCTTATGACCTCCCCTCTTCAGGATAAGTTTGAATGCTTGATGTTCTGCTGAAAAATAGCCCAAATTTCTGGGCTCATTTGAACTGAGATGGCCTGAAGGATAGGACATGCTTGTACCATGGTTTAACCCAGAAGCTATAACAAAGAGTAGTTCCAAATCACTGTAGCGTATGAAAGATTGGAGTTACTGTTAACACATTTGCCACATCTGATGTGATGTTGAGCTGAAGAGCAAGGCTACTCCTGACAGAGCAGTATGCCTCTACACTGTCCCCCCCACCTTTGCCCCCTTGCCACACATGATTGGACTTCAAGTGTTTTCTTGTTTCTTGAGACCTGTCAAAATACCTCTGGTCAGATTTTCTTCTTGGGTCTCATATTGCTAATTTAAACTTTTTGCAACCAGTTTGGACATACCTATATACATTTATTACTGTTTCACATCAATCACTTGTACATCTTTTAACCGTTTCTTATCAGGGCTATCTTTGTATTTTGAACTGGAAACAGATTAAAAATTGACAAAAACTGAAGTGGCATTGAACAGAAGTTCACATCATCTGCATATCTCCAGGAGCAAAACTGCTGTCGAAAGCATGGGTACAAGACTGCACATTATATTCCTATAGGAGGGGATACGATAATCACTCTAATCTAGGCCACTCCATGGCCTAGATGGAATTAAAGGGGATTAAGCATAGTCTAAAGTGAAAAATGCGTAGCTGCTTTTCTGAAAGCTCTAGGTCCACCAGCATACCTTCTGATATTTGCTGCAAGTGTAGCTCAAGGCTCGGGTTTTGGATCCACCAGCTGCTTCCTATATGCCATTTGTTAGAGGCTTGAACTCACTGCACTGGCTTCTGTCTTTAAAGACTTGCAGGTTAACATATCTTTAGCTCAGGCAGTGAAGGTACATAATTAATATTTAATATATTATGGACCTGAAATGTAGCATTGTGGTACCTGAGAATGAAAGTTTGTCATAAAAAGCTGTGCTTTGTGTCTGGTGAGAGCTGACTGGGAAGAGAGTGAGTTAAACTACAGACCTGCTTTCTGTGACTCTATTCTAAGCACTAGCATCTGTAAGTGGTAAAACATCTATTGATTAGGTACCATCAGATCCTGCAGGCAGTTTGCCTCGCCCGTGTGCGAGGGCTCTTCAGTTTTAAGAAACAGTGGAAAGTGCTGCGTAAGGACGTATAGAGGCAAGAACTCTCATCTTGACGTTATATTTAGTGTGCCGAACTCTAACCGCTATAAGCTTTCGATGTTCGCACAGAAGCAAGTCTGAATAAATAAGACCAGGTTCATTTATGTGGGGATTATTTTTCTTCCCAAAGGATTGGTTTGTTTATTTTTTTTCCCCCTCTAAATAGTGGAGTTTGAGCAAGATGAAGTGGAAATTCCAGATGTATTCAAAGCTTGATCATGGTAAGAGAATTGACTCACTGTACTTAAAAGTATCTAGTAAAGATTGCCTCTGAAATGAGAAGATTAAAGGTGAGAATGTTGGATATGGAAGTCTATTGATTCTTGAATGCTTGTAGTAAATTTATTAATGACAAAGGCAAATCTGGATATTTGTATTTGGATTATTTTGTTTATTTTGTTTTACCTGAAGAGTAATTCAACAGCAGAACTGGCTGCATGTTGCTTTCTTCAAAATGTTCTGATAATCATGCAAATTCATGGCATTATCAGCTTTGGAGAAGGAGAGATGAGATGGGTTAGTATATTAACTGGCAAGGAGCTGAAAGACAAAAGGCCAAGAGGATTAAATTTTTGACAGTATCTGCAGTGATTGGGAAGAATTCATTTGATTCCTCTCTTTTTGAAGGGAATGGAGGTGGAGATGGGGTCAATCTTTCTCCATTTTACGTGTAATTTATGGGCTATCAACACAGGAAAATCCAGACCTTAAAGCTACCTTTTTCTCATCATGTTTTTTCATACTGTTTGCAAGTATCCAAGTGATTAGATTTCAGCGGCTGTTATATGTCTTGTTTATATATTGAACGCTGGTATGGTTTGATTATAATGCAAGTTTCTTTGAGGCAGCTTTGCAAGTTTATATTTATCCACATAAGTGAGAACTCTGTTGCCTCATCCTCTTCTATGCTGAATAGTGAATGAAAAAATTCCAAAAAACAGGAGAACAAACCTAGAAAATACGTGATCTTTTACACTCTGAAACAAATCTCCCGTGCTGGGTTAGGAGTCAGAGTCGTGAAATGTCTTAGTTTATAACCGTTCATAGTTTATATGCTCGACATTCTATCAGCAAGCACAGAGATACTTCACGTTTTATTACCCTCATAATGTATCCCATCTGTACCATAGTTCTGAGACACAATGAGATTTGTTAATATATCTTAATTCATGCAGACTAATCATGCTTCAAATATTCCTTGTTATATGATTGTACTGTATCTTTTAAGAACTTGCATGACTGAAATATCCTATCTAGGAGAAGTTTAACTGTTTATCTTCCTCCTTTACGCGATGTCAGTATCATCTACAATGTAACTTCTTTTGTTTTATGGTCATATAACTCTACATGCAATCCCACTGAAAGCCAACTGCGTTCACCCAGCTAACCCTCCGTTGAGGTCATTCTTCCCATCATTCCCTGGATTGCTAATGTTCTGCAGCTCTGAGGAGCGGAGTGGGCAATGATGTTTTGTTTTGTTTTTTCTCTGGATTACTTTTTTGCATCTTATTTTCCTCCATTTTTAAGGCTTGGGTAATACAGATAATTAGATGAATAGTAATATGCAGCACCTTTTTCTCTTCTTTATTAACCACAGTATGTATGGGTATAATTATCTCCCTCCCACAGGACTGAAAAATGGGGAAAACCACAAAAATACACACCCCTGTGAAAAAGCTGAAATTGGTATTAATTAGATAAAGCGAAAGTATTAGTTACTAAAAGAACTACACTAGTTAAGCTAGTTTGGGAGCTCAAATGCAGTAGCATAGTAAAGAGAAAAAGGTAGGCCTTTCAAAGCGCTTAGAATTCAGAGCTAGGTAAAGAACCTGATGTGATTTGGTTTTGCTATTTTTTTTAATCCATTTATTTCTGCCTTTATCTAAAGGTCTATGTATGTAGCTGAATTTTTGCTATGTTTTTCATGCTGGAAAATTCTAATCAGCTTCTTCCTTTCCCTCAGCTATCTGAAGCACTCTCCATAAACCACACCTTTTTGTCTATAAGCAGCATTTGCCTGCTCTAAGCAAGCTGCTCTTAGTCAAATAAGCTGTTATCACTCTTCTGTAAACTTATCCTTCTGGCAAGTACGAGCTTAGTCACATTGGATAGAAATTATTCAGAAAAGAGTTAATTCCCCTGCATGCATCTTCAAAACATGTTTATGATCAGTAAAAGGAGGGGGGAAAAAAGTAAACATTTTAATCTGAAAATAAAATATGCAGCAAGACAAATACATCTTACCATTACTAAGTGACTGTATCTTTTTGTAATACTTGGGCAATAATGGGGGTGAAGGGTAACAAATGTGATCTTTGTAAGAAGATACTGCTGTGTGATAGAGTATATCTTGATCCTGTGACTTGATTTATTATTTTTTTCCAGTTTTGTATTACAACATTTTGCATATTTCCAGATCAGTTACTGGGATACTTACACTCTTGCTCTCATTGATCTTTACAGAGTTGTACAGTATTATAAGATTTCCTCGCAAGGTGTGTGTGTTGGTGCATACTGGGAGTCACAATAATAACAAATTGAACTGTGGTCAGCTAAACTTTCTTTTGGTTTCAAACATAAGTAACTCTTTGCCCTACCTTTCATCATGCAGTTTGGCTGTCTGCTACTGTTAATAAGTGAATTGCCTTGAAGCTATTAAGTAATAAGGATATATTCTAAGCTGAGGCCAGGAGATTGAGAATGCTATTTTTTTTTTCTTTACTGTAAAAGCAAAGTGACTTTTCTAGCTGCCTTTCTGTGAATATAGAAAAGTAAATGAGAAAAATAGATTAGCAGGGCTGTAAAGAATAAATAGCTGGGTTCAGCTTATGCTGAAACGATCTGGAGAATACTAACGCATCTCTTCCTTATTTGCATATTTGATGTAAAAAGATCACAGAGTATGGACTGCAATATTTTTCCATCTCTAATCCATAAATTATCCCTATGTAAAGAGGTTCTGTCATAATGAACAGAATCTATTTTCCCTCTAAGGGAAGGAGAAGTGGCAAAGAATTCCTCATATGCTCAAAAAATGCTGAACTGCATTCTCACATCTCAAAGTGCTGTTCCTGATGCTGTAGATAAATAGAGGATTAGATTTTTTTATTGTTAGTAGAGATCCCTTTAAAGCCACAACATTCATTTCTTTTAACGTAGATTTATGTTAAGTCTTTGTCAGGAGACGAAGAACATAAAAACAAGTCTGAGTTGATATAGGAGTGGGTAACAAACTATTTGTGCTGGAAGCAAAAGCTTTGATATTTTGAGCTTGTCTTTCTTATACAATGAACTTCACAACTTTTTCCTTTTTTTTTTTTTTTTTCCCCCTTTTAATAACCACAGCAAGACCAGCTTTATACTTGGGCTGCAGTTAGCCAACCCACACATTCATCAGATTACATTGAAGGAAGCTTTCCAAGGAGAATTCCATCTGTGTGGCCCCCACCCAAACCTCCAGATGAAGAACAAAGTTTCAAAAATACGGAAGCAGGTATAGTTCTTGGATGCAGATATATGCCGTTGAGGAGGGGAGCTGCTGTGTTTGAGAATCCAAGACATAAACGTAATATCTTAACATTTAACAGATACCTGGTTTTGAAGATCTGGGACTTGTGTCAGAAATACTGCTAGCTAGTATGAGCCTAATCAAAAATAGCCAGCAAAATGTGTGTTTTTTGTTAACCATTAAGATGTGCACCTGGCATCTGCTGACTAACGGATTTTACCAGGTGTTGTGACCTTTGTTCTTTTCCAGTTTAGATTCCCTCTGAGCTATGAAATATGAGTACTTTTCTCCTCTTAAAAATATGGAAAACTTCAGAAAGCCACCAGTGGTACACTGAATGTTATTAGAGTGGTGTAAGGTATTCCTCTGTGGATTCAGCAGTCTCCTGCTAACAGGCAGTTTATCTGAAAAGTAAATTGAGATCTTGTTTAAGAAGTCAGCTTATCTTGAAAGTTGTGGGGTCACTGCCAACTTTTTTGAAATCTATGCTTTCATTAAAAGCTTTATTTAAGCTGAGAATTAAAAAAGAATAAAATGAAAAACACTCTTGTAGCTTAGAAAGAATTATAGAAGAGAATTTCAAACCTGTTTTCTGTTAGTAGTGTTGATGGGCAAATACCGCAAGTTCTTGGAGGATTGGTTTTGAATTAACATTCAATAGCTCTCAACATCTTCAGGCTGCATTCATCCCCATGACCTCCATGGTGAACCACTGGCTATTCTCAAATTTTCCATGTCCTACGACTCTTTTTTTTGTTGCTCAAATTTGAAGAATTAAGTCATTATTTCAACAGAACTATTTGTATTGCTTGTAGGCTTTGGGTGGAGTCAATTTCAGATTTGTTTCTCTTTGGGACTTCTTTACCACTTCCTCTGGAACACAAGTAAAGCGGACGTTATATATCACAGCAACACGTTACTTTTACTGGTATTGCTTATTCCAGTGTTCACAAGCAAAATAAGTGATGCCAACAAAAATGCGGCACTGCGTTATGGTTCTGCAATATATTGCACATATGACTCCGTTTGTGCTGTGGCTTTTACCAAAGCAGCTCTTTTAGTTATGAAGGGAACATTTCTGCACCAATTTCACTGATGCAGTTCAGAGTGGAACACTGCAGTACTGTACTGTTGGACTAGTCCACTATTGGATTAATGAATCACTTTTTTATGATAGATACAATGAAAGTGCTGCCATATATGGTAGCTGAATTCAGTGCTGTGTCCTCAAAGAGGACAAGTCGTGTATCTTTTGACATGGAGATTTAGCTAATGGACACGCATTCAGAATTTTTATGAACAGACTCTCGGCTAGAAAGGCATAAGGGTGAATACTGTGCTCACTGTGTTACTTTGAGGTTTTAGCCTAGCAAAGGCTGGTGCAAATAATAAATGGTTTTTTTACTGGTTTACGTGCTCCAATACCTAGAGGAAGGCAGTTGATTAGATAAAATATTTTGAAATGTATGGATTTGGAATGTTTACTAATTTGGAAGACTATTTCTAGCGTGAGGTTAATATCATTAGTTTTTAAACATGTTCATGTGAAGCATGGTTTATTTACTTGCTATATTGCTCTTTTATTCCTACTCTGAAGACACAGTGTATATAGTATTTCTTTGTTCCTTAACTCAGTCACTGCCTTGTCAACTGAATGCAAATGAAATTGACCATTTTGTGTGGCATAAGCAATTTAGAAGCACTCTTGCCAAAGTGCAAAAATATAAAGAACATTGACTTAGAAGTAAAATGGAAAATTGTGTATTGTGACCATTTCTAAATGGAATGTAAACAGTTCTCAAAATCTACCTGAGGTGACAACTCTAAAAGTATTTTCAATTTTTTTTGCTTGTTGGTGTGAATTTGAAGTGTAGAACGTGGAGGGAAGAGGGAAAAATGATGATTGTTCTGAATACCACTCAGGCAGATATAGAATGTGACTTTTTATTTGATTGTTTGCATGCTTGCCATGTGGAAGTTCCTGGAGGTGAGTGATTTTTCAGATGAATCCTGAAAGGTAAATGCCTACCACAGATTTGTGACAAAATTATTGTATGTATATGTGCCTTTGCAAGGTAGAAGAGCAAAGGATTTTTCTAAGGATTGAAATTTCTGTGTATAGAGAAACTATGTTTTGCGTTGTTATTTGTTATATTGGCTAAAGATACAGTATTAAATTAGAGATAATGATTTATAAACAAAAACTTTAATTGGAGGCAAAACTATTGATTCAGAGAGGAATGTGGCAGGATATTTTTGTGTGTAGAGTTTTTATTTTTATTATACATATGTTAGGATGACAGCAATACTAGGCCTTCAAGCTTTAAGTAAGCCAAGAGTGAATTTTGCAAAGTGTTAGGCAATCTGTCCCTAAATTACCAAAGCACACAGCACAGTTATTTAATATATACTGTATTAAACTGATGGTTATGTGCTCTGTGGGGACAGAGAGAAGGAATGTTGTTGGGTGTAGGAAGAGGGCTATTAGAGGGGTTAGAGGTTTGTGGTGGGGGGGGGGGGTTTACATTGGCCATTTGGGAATTTGTTAAAAATTGAAGTTTGAATGTATATAATATGAATCTAGGTTCAAGTCACCAGATCCTCTTACCAAAAAATATTTTTCCATTCTGGATTCAGAGAGGTTTGGGGACAAAATATGGTAATTCCACCAATAAGATCAGTGCTAATAGCTTTAATTTTGCATCTGCAGAACCTAAATCTTTCTTCTCTTCTTCTGGGGATTGGACCCTGCTAATCTCATGCCCCAGGACATTGTCCGAATCTAGACACAAGAGAGTATTTGAAACCTGATTTTTTTTCAGCCTTTGCTGTTGACACAATTCCACTTAACATACAGGAAAAGGCAAGTATGCAGGCACTAGAACCCAGGCATCCATCGCCCATATGGTTGTCCTAACCACCTGGGCACAGGCTCGAAGATTATATAACTTCTCCTTGCAAAATGAAACAGTCCCAACGCACTAAATCTCTGTGTGAGTTTACACCCTGAAATCTAAGTTGGTGCCTTTACCAAAACTAGCCTTGTCCAGACATTTATTTCCTTTGCTGTAAAAATAAAATAAAATAAAAAAATAAAAAAGAACAAAGAAAATGTTTGCTTTGGGTTAAAGGGAACATTTCTTTTATCATATAACACTTTTTCTTTTCTTTTTCTTTTTTGAGGGGGTTTTGCTGAACAAAGATAACCTGTTAGTTTGATTCAAATGGAATTTATTTTGTGAGTTTTGGCAGCCTAACCTTAAAATTAACTGTGTGTATCATCCTGTACTGAGCTTTTATTTAGAACCCATCTTAGAACAATGAGCCTGCCGGAGCTAAAGATAAGCTAGAGAATTGTATCAAAATGTTAAATATTGATAAATATATAGAAAATACCTGTTCCTATTAGATTTTATGAACTTTTCAGTAAGGGATGTAGTTTATGCTGATTTGCATAATGGGAAATATTAGCAAACAGGAAAGATATTGGTTAAGTGTTCTTTGGCTGAAGCTTACTACAAAGAAGCTGGGGGCATTGCAACAAATGGAGAGTCAGTCTATAAGAAAATCATACAAAATACTTCAGGCTAATACTCTGGCTTTTCTGTAGGTGTGCCGTAGTAAAATAGTCTACAAAACTTCCAAAAAGAGTTGTAGTTTCTCTTGCCGAAATATCAGTCTTGTTCTTTTTAGTGCAATTTTGCATTATATGTATATGTAAGACTGAGATGTGATTCTTTGAGTTTATTTTCATTATTATTTTCAATAAATTTATTATTGATTGGGTACAATTGGCATAGTATTTTTGAAAGTAGGAAAATTTTATCAATAGTTTGAAAGAAGCCTCCTCCTTTTGGAGAGGCGGGGGTTACTGTTTCAGATCAAAAATCTCTGGATGAGTGTGTAATACTTGAAAGCACTGGAGAACTTGACTTGACAAAGCTTAATGCAAATTGCTAATTTAATTCTGAGAATAGTATTGCATTTGGCAGGCTAACACAGATATCTAAACATATACATGTCTGAGAAGAATGAGGAGAGTAGTGCATTTGTGTAGTGGTGTTGTATAAATACCATTTCTCCCTGAGGACTGTTGGGACTTGTGTGACAATTGTGTACTTTACTTGTGTACTTTACTGCATTGTGGCAAATTAAAGGGATCCTTAAAAGGAACTACAAAAGGAGGGGTAGGAGAATGGCACCTGTGAGTACTTAAGGAAACAATAGGCCAAAGCCAAGTCTAAAGGAGGCTGTTAGAGTTTTAAGGAAGAGAAGCAGGTTATAGTCAGCACAGCAGTTGAATAACAGTTATTCAGGAAGTACACAGAAACATAGGGTAGGTCTGGCCCAGCACTGTGGCGATACTGGCTGTCGTTTAACTGACTTAAGTGTAAGAAGTAGTGTTGCCACAGTAGAGTGAACCTCTGAACTGATTTATCCATTCTACCATATGGCATCCAGATGCCTATATTTTCTTAGTCACTGTACTGTTCATTAATTTTTGATGCTCTCCATTTATCCTTTGCAGTTTTTTTTTTTTCAAACGCTTCTTTCTGACAGCTGTCTCAAATAGTCTTCTAAGAGCTATGGTGGAGAGATGAGTTTAGAAAACTTACGGTTACTAGTATCAAAAGACTGCAGACAGCTCTAGAATAAGTCATGTGTATGTGCATGTCTTATGCAGTACTAGGACATCAGCCAGGAGTAAAACCTAGTGTGAACAAAGATGACATTCATCTAAAGTTTGTCTCTACCATATGGAAATCTAAAACTGCATGCAGAGCCCCTGGGAAAATCTGCAGTGTCCAAATACTAGCTGAGTATTTCCTGGTTTTGCAAATCAGGTAAGGTTAGCCAAGAAGTTCTCTTTTTCCAAATAATTTGTGAAACAAGTATTTGACAGTTGCTCATTTTAAGAATGCTAATACTCTTCAGTTCCTTCAGATGAGGCATTAAATTTTTTTGCCAGAAAATAGTCTCTGTTTTTAGTGGTGTGTGTTTTGGGGCTTTTTTGTGTGGAATTTTTTTTTTTTTTAGTAGCCATGAGGGGCAAGTGCCTAATTCATTGGTAGCATCCTAAATTTCCCTCACTAAATGAAGTTATCTGAAAGTCAGCAACAAGGCATGATTCATCCATACCAAAGCTTGTCAAAGTGAGAAATGATGAGCTATTTCTCGTATGGTAGTCTATTCTCATCCTACTTTCTATCACTGGGAATAATTCTGTCAGATGAGACTCCAAATACTATTTTAGTAAACAATGAAAGAATGTAAAAAGATCAAGAATTGTTAATATTCAAGGATTATCCTTGCAGCATAACTGTCACTGGCAATGAAACTTCCCCCTTGCACATCTCTCCTCCAACAGCTGAGATTGTCAGAAAAAAGTAAGGAGGCCAAATGTCTAGGCATTTTGTATCTGATGGTTATGGGCCACAACAGATTCCACTCTTCCTGCAGATAGTCAGCAGATTTGCCAGCTGTATAAGTTACCCCTGAAAGACATGAGAAGGATGAGTGTGACGCATGTTCTCTGGGTAGGTTTAAGAAGCATTTCAGTTCTTGCACTGCGTACAAGGGTAGGCTATGCTAGTTAACAAGATGTAATCCATATCATTAACAGTAGCCACCAAGCCTGTTAGAGAACAGCTGATTTTTTTTTTCTTACTATTACCCCATCAAGCTAAGAAACTGAGGTACAGAGAGGTTATTAAAAGTCAGGAGAAATCTGTGGAAAGTACGGAATGGAAACTAGAGCTTTTAATTCACAGCCCTGTGCTTTAACCACAAGACCTTTTCTCTTCCATAATTAGATTCAAAGGAAGTCTTCCTTATTCTCTGCAAGGATTTACCGAAGGACTTCAGAGTATTGAATGTGCACTGGGTTGTTACACGCTTCTGTCATTGCCAGCACAAAATCTGTACTTCCTTTTATCCAGCACACAATCAAAATACTGCACTGCAGAAACAAAGCAGGAATGTACAATACATATTTCTCCTTCAAATAAATATGATCGGAATCAAGATTTTTGTCTATTTCTTTTTTAACTTCAAGTACTGATAGTTGGCTTTGGTTTAAATGTGTTTTTTTATGAAAATGCAGATCCCAAAAATGAATATTGATAGAAAGAGTGAGTGTTACCCAGCTTTTAAAATTAGAAAGGGAATCCAGTTTGGTGGAATTTTGTGTTTTGCCATTTACAAGGGAAAATGCACAGATAGAAGTTCTTAATTGCTTAAAAACTGCTATTTTATTTTTTATTGTGGCAGTGACGGTTGGTGATCTGTTGTTCTATTTACAACTATTAATCTGGGACAAATAGATTTATTATTTTCCTCTAAATACAGTAATTAAATGAAGGACGGATTAAAAGATCATTAGGATTCTCATGAGTTATTTTTGAAGTAGGAAATAATTGAAGCTATTCTTAGAAATGAAATATTCCTGTTTATTTTTTCATACTGTAAATGAGTATCAGGTGGTCAACATTCTGAAAGTCAAGTTCATGCTGATTCTTTGCCCGAGTGAAAGAGGGGTAGAATCCAATCCAAAGGTGAAGAATTAGTTTTATATCCTCAGTTTGAATGTCTCCAGTTCTGGGGAGCTGTGACTGTACACTTATAAAATATTAGTCGCTTCTCTTTCCCAAACCATCCCTTTGTAAGGCTGAGATGCTGGAGACGGTTGTTACTTGCGACAAGGATGAAATGGAAGTTTCATAAAACGTACTTGCATCAGTAAGCCAAATGCACCTTCAAGCCCACTTTTAACATGTGAATTTAGAGCTGTATGTCAATCTATTTCATAGTGGAGATCTGAAATTTTATATTAGTGCAGATGAGGGCCAATAGATGATGTGAAAAAACACCAGAGCTGTCAACAGTCACCATCCTGCTTATGGGTTCTCTTGGCCTTTCATTAAATGACACAATCTACAGAGTTTAAGCACAGAAATACTTTTTGATGGGATTATGCGGAGAGAACAAGCATGAGCACTTTGCCTAGACTTTCTGTGGAATATAGGTAATAGAGCCATAAGTAACTACTTTTTTTGGATCAGAAAGTCTGACAATGATAGCAGACTTCTTTCAAGTTTTTTGTGCTATGCTTTTATGATATCTTTTAATGCTGAGTACATAGCAAATTGAGATCAAGTTGGCTTTATTTATGTATACAGCTTGTTTGATTAATTTTAGATGGATAACTTGGAAAGTGGAACAGTGTTTTTAACTCTATCACCACTTTATGAGTCTTCTCTTCGTAAAATCCTTAACCTTTATTCTAACAGACCAATGAAATACTATCTTACAAAACTTTTAAAATTTATATTTTCTTTCCTAATTCAGAGTTGAAATCTACTATTCTAGAAGCAGAGAAACAATGCATAGATGATGTCCAGCGGCTACAGGTAAGGTTTTGCCAAAAGTGTTTTTCTTCTAGTATTTTGTTTAAAAAAAAAAAAACAAACTGTGAAAATAGTACTTCAGACAGTTTTGCAATAGTTCTTCTGGTTTTGTATAATAAATCTTCAGAATGCAAACATCTATAAATGCCTTTTGCATTCTAAATTCTGAGTTCAATTCTTATTTCAATATACTGATAAGCTCCATAGGTTTGGTTTTTAGGTAAAGAGATTCAAGGTTCCTAGCTGCCCAAGATCATTATTGTTCAGTTCCTTCAGAACTAACACTTGATTCCAGAGGTCTGATGGTATTAATAAGGAGTAGCAATAGATCTGATTATATTAGTTAATATACCAAAGTGCAGGTAATAACAGTGGCAGAAATCTTCAGAGAGGGTTAGAGCTGATCCCTCTCTTTTTTCACTGAAGTCTATAACAATAGCATTAGGTATAGCTTTAGAGTGACCTACTAGACATCAGAAGGAGATGTTCAACATAAACACAGTCTAAATTTATGGTAAATGTACCAGCATTCGTATGGTATTCTTCATTAAATATGGTGTGATTTGATGTAAAAGAGGATTTTCAAGTTCCAGTTCCCCAAAAGACCTGTCAATTTCCTGTGAAAGCTCTCTGATCGCAGGTACCAGACTTATCTTACTGATAGATGAGATTAACTGTTTGGGAAGGCATGAAGAGGATGGCAAACTTCTGGTTTCCTTAAAGATTGGTTTGGAACCGGTGGTGCTCTTGATTTCTGTGTCCTCCCTCCCCCCGACCCCCCCCTTTTTTTTTTTTAATATGGCTCAAACATCACTGCATTGGGCCTTGTCTGTGAAAATGATCAGTGATTTCCTTCTGAGAGAGAAAATAAGAAATGTCCAATGAAGTGAATGCTACTGATCATCAAAATTGCTGACATTATGCAAAACTAAAATTATATAAATTTAATCTTAATTCAGTCAGAGATGTTACAAGTGTGGATGGGGTGAGAAGGTGTTGTGTACATGTTTCTCTTACCAAACAACATTCAAAGAATTCTTCCAAGTTCTTCAATCTCCGTAATTAAGAACATTTTAAAGCTAAAGCTCATTAAGTATAATAATATCAAAATATTGCAAATCCAGAAAATTTTCTAAGTTTAAACTATAAAGAATATTTATCTATTTTTATTTTATTCTAGTCATGCAGTTTTCAGTGACAATAATTTTTAATATTTCTTGTAAAAAAGAAGTTGTTACTGTATTTCCAGAAAGTTATTGCACTGAAGGAATATACTTTTATCTATAGCTAGAATAGTAATTCATTACAAGAAACAGTCTATATAAAAGACCTTTATTGTATACGTACTTAATGGAAATGTGTTTATGACTGCTTAGATACTTTGCCTAAAAGTCTGATTCACCTGCCATTAGAATGACGTTTAACAAAGAGCGGTAGGGTGCTGTTTGGTTGCCTGCACAAATAGCATTTACTTGAGCTTGGGAGTTTTTTATTTGTTTTTTATTATTTTTAGAAAATCAGAGTACAGTTTTATTCCCAACAAACAATTTTGTATTGTAGGAAATGATAAACAGAGTCCAGTGGATTGCTCATTTCATTTCAGGAATATAGTAGTTTGTCGCTTTTGGAATACTTTTTTTTTTAATGTCCTCTCAGTGTTCTATGCAGGATAAATATCAAAGGAAGTGGATAAGAAGTGCTTTATTAATGGTGAGAGTATTGTTATATAAATAGGTAGATACTGATAAATATATATTGTGGTATAAACAGAAAAATCCCATTCTCTGGAGACAGGCTAACATATTCAGATAGACTCATGATCTTGAAAAGGGTATTCACCAGACAGGAGCATGATCATCTTTCAAGATGAGAAGCGTGTTTCAATTTTTGTAAATGTTTGTATCCTATCACATAAGTTTCATCACAAGCTTGCAACATCACAGTCAAAACTGATCGCAGTTTCCCATTGACTCACACCACTATTCCCAATCCTCTAAAACTGTAACTGCTACATGAGTCTGTCTCTCCTAATAACTAAACATCTATCTCTTCTTATTTAGCTTCTTTCATTTCTATTTTGTTTTTTTCCCCCCCCACAATACTGTATCTTGTTAAGGTTAGTCATGTTTTTTTTGGGGGGGGTGGTTTGTATTTTTTTTGTTTTGGTTTGGTGTGGGTTTTTTTTTTTTCTGGTAATTTGACTTGATGTAATGTCTTCTCATTGACTAGACTTACAAATGGAAAATGTGTGCAGATTTGGCTCTGTAATGTTTACTGAGAATGACATAGGGCAAACTGGAGAATCTTAGCTATATAGTTCCACTAAAACAAATTGGACTGTTGTGGTTAAATTCTCTTAACTGGCTGGTAAATCCAGCATGCTGTGTTTTCCAATTACTGAATTGTATTTGTTAGTATTGTTAGGGATCCTGATTCCCCTCCCTCAGTGTTAACCTCCTATGGCAATAATATTAGCTTCTTCCATTTGCTACTATTATTTATCAATGAATAGCAGAAATAAGGAGTTTGTATGCATGATGGCCTCTGACAGAAAATCATCTTGATTTCTTGCACTACCATGCCTTTATTCTGTTTTATTTTGAAAATTAGAGTGGAAGCTATTTAAAATGCAAAACTGTGTGGAAAACATACTTTTAAGTTTCCAAATCATTTCTTACAGTCCCAAACAGTCAAGTGTATAATATTGTTTTTAACGTTTAGAAAGTAGAAACTATCTTTCTTTCCATCACATTGGAAGATAAATCCTTTACTGGAATTGGATCATTCTCAGTATTGTTTGTCTTTTTTTTTTCCCTTTGGAATGTGATGAAATAGTTTGTCCCTAGTTTTCCTTTTTGAAGAAAGCAAGCATTGGCTGAAGTTAGCCAAGCAGATGATTTTTCTTTTCTTTTAATGCTTAAAGAAAAAGAGTCATAGTGTAAAATTTAAAATTGAAGCTTTCTGCTAAATCTACTTACAATTTCCTTGCTTGTCCCCTCCTTCCTCTAGGAAAAGACATTTTCCAAATGGGATAAAAATAATTGGCAATGGTTGATATTGACATAGAAACAAATGCAAATGTAACATGTTGTTGATGATTCATCTCACTTATAATAAATCGTTGACTAAAAGCTTGTAACACACACAAAGCCCAGTTTCTGCACTAGCTGGAAACAGAAAACACCTTTTCTATTTATCCTCTGCTCTTCCTTACCTCTGCAGTTGTACATAACCTTGTATTTTCTTGAATAATTCCCAAAATTTTCTAAGACTGCTCTTGTTCAATCTGAAATAGCCTGTTCTTAAAAATAAGAATTAAAAAACTGGGTGGGGTGGGGTTTTTTGATATTTTTAATGTTGGATCTGGTAAATAGAGGAAAGATAAGAGAAACTGGCAGTCCCACTTTTGAAACGTCCAAGAAGAACAACAATTTCTGCATAGATATCCTAGTGTGAACAGAGAAAGCTTAGTTTGGCTGAACTCCTTTAAATAAGGAAGAAGAGAAAAATTGAATGGCCTGATTTAGAAACTCCAGCTTCAAGCCTGATGTTTAGATTTGGCAACTGTACTCTTGTGCAAAAGCATAGTTCCTTCCTTTCTGCTTTGCACCCCTGATCTTTTGCAGTACCATTGCAAATTTTCC